TTTCTATGCCAAACTCGAATGCTTGACTGTTATAAAAAATCCATGAAAAATTGACATTGGTCATATGATGTAAAATTTCCTAAAATATGTTTTAATGGTCATAATTCAATTATTCAAAATTATTAACAAAAAGAACATTTGATGCTGTATTCTTCTGATCACCTAGGTGTTGATTTGGCTAAAAGAAAATTAGATCATTTTCAGGATAGCTACTTAAATGCATATACGAGATAGTAGTGCTATAAATAAAGAAGTAAGAGTAAACATTTAAGTGAAGTAACAAGTGCAAAAGAAAGAAGGTAAAAAGTGAGTCTTTGTCTGACCACTGTGCGCCAGCAGTATATAATGATGTGCCGCACATAGAAGCAAGTGTGTGGATTAATGGATGGCAAAACTTTACTCTAAAGCACTTTGGGTGGTAATAAAGACTAGAAAAGCCCATTTACCATTGTTTGTCCAAGGAGATCAGACTTCCCTAAGGGCAGTCACACTGTGGTTTAAACTTTAGAGGAAATAATTCATTTTATATAGCTTTATTGTGTAACTGTGGGCACGGAGGTGACTCGGAGAGCACCTCCACCTGTATCAGAGGATCAGTGCAGCAGAGGTCTGTTAGCTGATTGATCCTCTGGTACAAAAGGCAGCACCAGAGATGCCGAGGACAAATGGGATGAAGACAGACACACCAAGAGGGCCTGGGAGAGGCTGAGCTGAGAAACCTGAAAAAGTTGCGTGGGACCTCTCTAGTGGCCACCTAATGCAGCAGCTCATTGAGCCGGAGCTTTTTTTCTCTCTAACTTCGTCCTCTGTCATTCTTCTTTACTCTCTTTCATTCGTTTTTGTTTTGACATTTGTACACTATGGATACCAAGAGCATCTCCTATTTTCATCTCCAGCGTTGTGCGAGGAGGAGAAGCTATAGACATCTGCTCTCGTCCATCGTCATGGGGAATGTAAGATCTCTACCGAATAACATGGACAAATTAGCTGAATCTTAGAATATAGAGAATCAAACACAAAGCTGTTGGTCTGGACACTGAAAGTGGTTTATTGACATGATCATCACATCTCATTAAAGAATTAGGGATGTTATCCAGTCTCTCTCCTCCACAACCAGAAGAATGGCAACAAATATTCTGCTCCAGGCATCAGGTCCTCCCTCTGTTGAGTCATCTGATCATTGGATGAAGTCTGGTTGATTCACATTGACACACATCAACAACCAAAGCTTCTCTAAAAAAAGACAAAAGCACGTCACCAGAGAGAAATAGAAAAATGAATGAATAAGTAGGTAACAATGGCTACATAGACTTACACAACATTTTACCTGATTAACTTTAGAGATACATAATCACAACAAAACACAAAGTTAATCCTATTGTTAAATCACATGTAAGAAATTACCTAACATGTTAAACTGAACTATCATCACGTCCTTGTGCACTTTTTGTGTACCTTTTTATCACTCTTAATTTTAACACCTGGTTAGCACAGTTTAGCTGCGCAGAGGGAACTGACAGGTTGAGCATTGCAATGCCACAGCTAACTAGCTAGCTTGGTTAGCTCGTAATTAACATTCACTGGGACAGTAAGTAGCATTCTAACACACACTAACACACAGTGACTTTTGTGGAGAATAGAGAACACATGTAAGGATAAAGACTGTTAAACATTGAGAGCACAAGAGTTTACTCACCAAACAAATTGGAGATGTCAGATCTGTTACTGAAGTGCAGGCCTTAAACCCGGTGAACTAACAGTAAACGTGTCGGTGTAAAAACCTACTTCTCCAGCAACTGATACTGAAAGATTTCAGAGTAAATGTGAGAGAAGTGAGTGAACACGATGTAAATAAAGCTCCTCTTTTCCTCTGGTGAGTCTATCTCATGTGGCCCATTGCAGCTGCTTCCTGTCAATCATCCGGGAGTCTGTGTCAATCAAACAGACAAGCCCCTAAATCTACAGCTTTTTAACTTTAATATCTAATTATGATATTACTTTCAGATGGAGCACCACATCTCTGATTAGAAGGTAAATATCTAGCGAATGTAACCATTATCCCCCGTGGGTAATGTGTGTTTTTTGAATGGCAGTCTATGGAGTCAGAGATTGTTTGGAGCCAGTTGAGCTAGCCCCTGGTGGATCTCCGGCAGTATTACAATTTTAGGCACTTCCACATAGGCTTCTTCTTTTGGAGCTGGAAGCAACATCCATCTTTTATATATAGTCTATGCTTCTGACACAGCACCCACAGGCTCTCCTCCTCATCTATGGGGACTTCAATCATGCCTCTTCATCCTCCACTCTGCCGACCTTCACCTATCACGCCATATGCCACACCCGAGAAAATAAAACACTGGACCTTTTCAAGAAAGGAAGCAGCTCCTGACCACACCGGCTCCAAGCTGCTCAAATCCTGCACTGGGAATCTGGGATTATGGATAAATTCTTAAACATTAGCCTGGCGCTGTGGAGATTCCCACGCTATGGAAGACCTCCAGCGTGGTACCAGTGCCAATGACTCAGCAGCTACAGACCAGTGGCACTAACATCCCACCTGATGAAGACCCTGGAGTGGCTCATCCTAAAACCTCTCTGCACCCTGGTGAGACCTTCGCTGGACCCACTGCAGTTTGCCTATCAGGGTGGATGACGCTGTCATCTACCTACAACGCAGAGCTCTTTCTCATCTGGAGAAGACTGGGAGCACTGTAAGGATCATGTTCTTCGATTACTCCAGTGCTACCAACATCATCCAACCAGCACTTCTGAGGGACAAACTGGAGCACGCTGGAGTGGACCTCCATCTCACATCCTGAATATTGGACTATCTGACCAACAGATCCCAGTATGTAAGGAGCCAGGACTGTGTGTCGTATACGACTGTCTGCAGTACAGGGGCCACAAAGCTCTCTTCCTTTTCACCCTCTACGCTGCAGACTTCACCTACCACTCACCCTCCTGTCACCTGCAGAAGTTCTCTGATGAATCTGCGATTGTCTGCCTCATCATTGCCAAGGACGACGGAATACAGAGGACTGACGCAATGACATTGTGGATTGGTGCCAGCGGAACTGCCTTCAGATCAATGCAGGGGAAACGAAAGAACTGGTGGTGGATTTACGCAGGGGCAGACAGTTAAAGCTCCCCCTTACACACACAGGTGAACATCCAGGGAACATCCAAGGACATAGATTTAGTGACTTCTAACAAGTACCTGGATGTTCACCTTAACAATAAACTGGATAGGACTGTTCATTCAAGTGCATTGTTTAAGAAGGGACAGAGCAGACTGTATCTGCTCAGGAGACTGAGTGCAGGGGGCACACCTGAAGACTTTTTATAACTCTGGTGGCATCTGCCATCTTCTTTGGAGTAGTTCACTGCTGACAGGAAAGACTGGATAGACTAATTAGGATGGCCAGCTTGGTCCTGGGATACCCACTTTACTTAGTGGAGGTGGTGGTACAGAAGAGGATGATGGCAAAGCAGTCTTCTCTGATGGACAACCATTCCCACCCCCTGCAGGACCCCATCACAGCACTTGGCAGCTCTTTCAGCAACAGACTGATCCACCCTAAGTGTCTGAAGGAGAGATATCGCAGGTCATTCCTTCCTGCAGCAGTAAGATTATACAACCAGCTCTGCACTCATAGTAAAAACCACATTCACCACCATTGAACTGCACTTTAAAATTTTTCAACATGTCAACATGTCTCAACTTTGCAATATTCACCTGTCAGTGCAATATAAATGCTCTGCAACTCATTCACTGTAAATATCGTCATGCTACATATATTTTTTCCTGTCTTACACTGTATATACTAGTTTAATTACATTCATATATTTTTTATCTCCCTTACACTTAATTATTGCATGTTACCTGTTACTTATTACTTCAAATTACTTCAACTGCAAATTTGCCCATTGTGGGACTAATAAAGGACTTCTAAATTTTAATTTATGTGGGTTTCTATGGAATTCCCCCCCCCCCTATCTTTATTCAAGAGCGTGGTTGTTCAGTTCAAGCGCATGACTTGTAGAATTTATGTTAAGAATGTGCATTAATTTTCATCAAAACCCTGCCCTTGCACTAAAATAGCTCCTTAAATTAAATAGCACTTAAATTTGATCTGCTTCTGCTCAAACTGTGTGCTTGCACTCAGATATATTGTTGCTCGCTCCAGCTTCAGCCCTTCTTCGCACTCTGGCTGCTTTCTGTGCACTCATGAATTGTCTGCTCTTGGATTTCTCCTCTGCGCTTGGATTTTTTTGTGTTACAACCCTGTCAAAAGTCCTCAACCAAGAGAATGCTCATCCGTGTGGTCAACAATATATTTGAGTGCAAGCACACATCTTTATTAAAGATAGGGGGGGGGGGAAACAAACTCCATAGGTTTCCTTTATGTTTGCCCACATGTGTTGGAAAAAAAAAAATGCTGAAAAGCAAATGGTTTGTCTGTGGCTGTTGTGGTGAGACCCCACTGGCGTCATATGCCGCAGTAACCTAACGTCAAAAGGACAAGGTTGCATATTCTATCTCCGCCATGACCCAATAAATTTAGGGTATATAAAACCAAATAACAAAAATTAAGGTTATCTTTAGGTAATAAAGGATCAATATACAATTTAAATTGTATATTGATCAGTATAATTATATTATAATTATACATATATATACAGTATAATAAATTATTATAATATTAATGCACATTACTAACATACATAAATGTATGCAACTATAGGAGAAGGAAATTCAAACACACCATTACTAGTTGCTGCGTATTTATATATTAAATGTGTAGGTAGCATGTTACCTGACTTCTGAATTCTCAATTTAGATTTAATTAAATCTAAATGGTGAACACAGTATGTACACATCAGACCTTGATGAACGAATTATTCAAGTTGAAAATCTTTACTGATGTACATTCTATAATTTGTTGAGAACAAAACGATATAACAACAGTCAATGGAAACCAAAATCATTAACGCCTCCCAGGATCCATTACTGACCCACCGCCGAACCGGTCACGCTGGATGATGTTACAGGTAGCATAACGTTCACAACAGCCTCTCCAGACTCTTTCACGCCTGTCACATGTGCTCAGTGTGAACTGGCTCTCATTTGTGAAGAGAACGGGGCGCAAGTGGTGGACCTGCCAATTCTAGTGTCCACTGGCAAATGCCAAAAGAGCTGCACAATGCTGGGCTGTGAGCACAGGTCCCACTACAGGTTGTCAGGCCCTCATGGAGTCTGTTTCTGACAGTTTGGTCAGAAAGGCTTGAATTTATATAGCACCTTTCACAGGACCCAGGGAAGCTTTACATACATTTGTGAGGACAAGACAGAAGAGAAAATAAGAATAGAAAACAGGATAGAATTAAGCAGTAGGGTGCAGCATTAACTAAGGCCAAATGCAGTGGTGCTTGAGGAGTTTTTGGAAGATTTCGAGAGATTCAGCGCTGTGTATTTCAGCAGGGAGAGAGTTCCAGTGGGTGGGGGGCATTGAGGGATTTGTAAGTGAGAAGGAGAAGTATGTAGTTAATGCAGGCCTTTATCAGGAGCCAGTGGAGGTGAATGAGGATCAGGGCGATGTGCTGCCAGAGCGTAGTGCGGGTGAGAACCCTGGCAGCAGAGTTCTGTACATATTGGAGTTGTTTCAGAATGTTGTCAGGTATACCAAACAGGACTCCATTGCAGTAATCCAGGCGGGAGGTGATGAAGGCATGGTGAGGGTTTCTGCCACGGAATCAGGGAGTGACGGCCGGAGTCTGGATATATTTTTGAGGTGGAAGAAGGCGGATTTGGTGAGAGATTTGATGTGGGATTTGAAAGAGAAGGTGGAGTCAAGAATAATGCCCAGGTTGCGGACCTCGGGGGATGGGGAGATGGAGCAGCCGTCGATGTTGAGCAGGAGATCTCCAACCTTCTGGAGCAGTGCCTTGGGGGCCACAACCATGAGCTCTGTCTTATTACTGTTCAGTTTTAGGAGGTTTGAAGATATTAATATATCGTGCAGGCAGTTGACTAGTGACTGGGGGCGGGGCTGAGCAGAAGGATAAGTGCTCAAGTAGAGCTGGGTGTCATCGGCGTAAGAGTGGAAGTTAAGGCCATGTTGACAGATGATACGACCAGGAGGGAGCATGTAGATGGTGAAAAGAAGGGCGCCCAGCACTGATCTTCGCAACACATCTTGGTTGACTTGGGCTGTAGTGGACCTAGAGCCTTTGATGGTAATAAACTGTTTTCTGTTGGAAAGATAAGATTGGAACCAGGTGAGAGCTGATACAGTAAGGCCAAAGTGTTTGTATAGGCGATTGAGGAGGATGGTGTGTGTTGTGGAAATTTTCTCTTTTCCTGGTGAATAATGAAATGGAGAATTCTGCTGGCCGACAAGGTTTTATTTTCTTTGCAAAGAAAAGGTCAATCAACATGCGAGCTGTCAAAGATGAAGAAAGACCTCGAGCATGGGGAAAACTAAACAAGGGTCAGCCCCCTTCCTGCTGCAGAGGTCAGGCCCCCTTCCCGCAGCCGGGGTTTGCCCCCCTACCCAAAGTGTCTTCACACACGTTTGTCTGTTGCAGGTATTGTCGTTGAGCCCCTTTGGTGTGTTTTACACCTGGGTAATCCTGCAGAATCTTGCACTTAGGTTTGAAGTAGAGTCTAGACATATGGATTTAAAACCCAAAAGAACTTGGTTTCTTGTGTCGTGGGAAAGTGACTTGAAACAAAGAAACTGATTTTACTATTACAGTGTGGGAGACTGTGTCGAAGAAAGCAGAGAGGTCTAGGAGGTTGAGAATACTAATGTGGCCAGAGTCAGCAGGGATGAGGACGTCATTGGTGATTTTGATGAGGGCTGTCTCTAAAACTTCTAAAACTTAATAGACGACAAAATGGGAAAAACAAAAAGAAAACAAATATCTCCCTCTCATACACATAGACAATGGAGATGTCAAGAGAGTTTGTGGTGATAACAGCTGACAATGGTGTTGGGGTGCTTTAAACAAGATTATGTTATCTCTGCAGCAGAGTTATTACCTCACTTCCTGCCTCTGTCTGCTGCACCCAACTACTCTACTCTCACATTAATAATACAGAGGATTTGATGCTGACGCGTCTGTGCAGAAAACCTCCCACTGCATCGTGCATGTGTGAAAGGCAGACTCTAACTCACTAGCACAGAGCAGCAGCTGTCTCTCTTTCTCCTCCCATCAGGTGTGTGTGCATGTAACTAAGTGTGTGTGTGCAGATGAGGAAACAGGTGGAATCTGGTGGTTTGCCAATTCAAAGAAGTGTTACCTCAGGAATTTGAGCAAATCTCGAGCAAAGGTTTTCTTAAACTCCAACTGACAGCCACCAATCTCTGTTCATCTCTCCCCACTTCCAACAAAAAGCCAGCATATGTAGTTTTTGTGTAAGCTCCGCTGTTGTAGTAATAAAGTTGAGCAGAATTGCGTGTTGTCAGATAAGTGTGAGATGCACTAATGAATGTGTGGATTTATGAGTTACTGTGAGCTTGTCGTGTTTTAAAGGTCCAGTGTGTAAGATTTAGGTGAAAGGGATCTATTGGCAGAAATTTAATGCAGAATAATTCTCATGATGTTTTCACTAGTTCGTTGTATGAAATATAGTTTTCTTTACCCCAGAAAAGTCCCTTTATATTTAAATACTTTATATTTACATGGAGCGGGTCCTCTCTACGGAGGCTGCCATTTTTTTTTACATTAGTGCAGACTGGACAAACTAAACACCTTTTGAGTTTTAATGACAATTAAAGGCTACCACCATTTCTTTTTCATGTTAGGAAGGAGTGGGTGAGGTGAGCGATGTTCAGCTGCAACATGCAATTTCAAAACTAGATATCACAAACTACACACTGTACCTTTTTAATTTAATTATTTTGTATCCATATCACCTCACCACCTTTAGTAGCAGTGAGTAGGAGGGAGAAGCTATTTGTTTTATGTATCTTTTTCCCTTGTTTATGATTATATTTTTGTCATTTCTTTACCTTTTGTTTTTGCCAGGGTAGTTATGACCGAGAATTTAAAAAATCTTGTTTGTTGTTTTTGCTCCATTCTGAAGCTAATAAACTGGTCATGTCTTATAACTTATATTCTGTGCTGCTGGCCTTTTCTTGGGTATGGAAAGAGTGGGGATCCACAATGCATGTTAGGTCTAGGTTTTTCCTAGACCATGGACATAACGGCAGGACTCTCAATAAGACCAGGACAGCTACAACTTCCTCTGTCATCTGTGGTTGAGGAATTCATGGTAGTGAAGTCCAGAATTGTAATTTTGCAATGAGACTCAGGACTAACTTCAGACATGCAGGCGTCACTAAAAAATCAGGGCACCATTCGGCAGCAGGCACTCTATAGCAAAACCCAAGAGCATGTTGAAGCTATGTAACATCATCAGCATGCAATGCATGGGAACAAAGGTGATTCTGAACTTCACACTTGAAAGGGGGAGGGCAGAAACCAAAGAGAGGAGCTATGATCCAGGTGGAGATAAAGGGACCTGGAAGAAGGAAGAGGATCTTGGGCCATGGAGCTAGCATCCCTGATTACATAGGCAGATCAGAATGCAGGAGCCATTCCGCATCTCCTTGGTCACCAACTTACTGAGAGCAGTGTTTGACACACTTTGACGAAATTCTAATCAGGTCATCTTTGAGCCTAAGTGAGTGTTTGTCCCAATTTGAAGATATTCTCTCAGAAAAAACAAAAATACTTTGTGAGGCCATCATGACCTTGAACTTTGACCTTTGGCTACCAAAATCAAATATGTTAATCCTTACGTCCAAGTGAACGTTTGTGCCAAATGTGAAAAGATTCCTTCACGACATCCAGAGAGGGTTCAAGAGGGCACATACCAAGTCAATAATTCTGTAAGGTATTTGGGTGTAAGGCCATTTAAGACCTTAATACTCAGCAATAAAAATGAATAAGAAATTTAACAAGGTGCCAATGAAGGAAGACAAGCACAGGGGTGATGTGGTTGTGCCTTTTTGTTTGAGTGATAAGATGGGATGCATCTGCTGAAGACAATGGAGGAGATTTGGCTGAAACATGATGGAAGTGCATTACAGCAACCAACGTGACAACATTTTGCAAATCAGCAATTGATACAGTCAATTTTCATATTGTCTGACAGATCAGAGAGATTAGCGGCAATAAAACTGGTGTAATTAGGGACACCAATCAGAATGACCTTAAAAATGTCATCATTGAATTTAATGGGGACATATCAGGGATGACAGTACAGCTGAGGTTCTTTAAAAATATAATTATTTACAAATAAAATTATTTTTCATCATGGAACAAATTCGCCACATCCTCCCCATGAATAACAAAGATACACTGTCTACTGTGTCTAGTACGGAAACCATAGAACAACCTGTAGAACAGATTTATATTTGGACCACTTGCATGCTAGTTGCATGTTGCAGCTGAATACCCCTCACCTCATCCCCCTTTCAAACATAAAAGAGAACCTGTGGTAGCCTTCAGTTGTCATAAAAACTCAAAAAGTGATTAGTTTGTACAGTTTGGGCTACTGTAAAAAACATGGCGGCCTCCGTAGAGAGTATCTGGTCCCAATGTAAAAATAAAGTATTTAAATATAAAGGGCCCATTCAAGGTTAAAGAAAACAACAAGTCATACAATTTACATGATTACACACTCGTGAAAACATCAATAGGATTATTTTATATTTAATTTCTGCCCTTTCACCTAAATCTTACACAATGGTTCTAATAAGCAGATGTTTACCAGATGTTTAACTAATTTTAGACCCATATCAAGACTTCTTTTACTTTCTAGAATCCTTGAAAAAGGACTAGAGGATTATCAACTCTTTATCAATTTTAAAAACGTGGGAGACCACAGACATAATGACAGATATTACTGATTTGTACTCTTATAATGTTCAGAACGCAAACACTGGACGATTAGGCCAGAATAATAGGCCACACACTTTCCACTTGTAAGAAGTAATTTCACATTTCCGGAGACTTGGAGGACCGATGTGTGTTCTAATTACAGCAAACAAAACAAAACTATGGATGAAATCATGGCCGAGAAGGTTTATGCATTTTGCGGTGCAAGCTTGAGGTGAGTTGGAAATGTATCGATGTTTTTAGTTGATGCTACAAGTACACAACATCTGGTTGGTGGTGCTTCCTGGTCAGCTCACTCTCATTGGATATGCAGGTTTCTGTCACAGCCTACTATCAATATCAAACATTTCATGAGAGATCGGGGAGGCTCTAACTCAATCGGTAGTATGAAGATCATTTTGAAAAACCCTCACACTTCAGGATTATTTGAGCAGCCAGCGTAAACAAGAGAGAACCCAACATTCAGCAGAACTGCAGCGCAGCCATTCTGCGGTGCAACTGCAGCCAGTGTTGCTGAGGTGTAAGCCTGTTTTTGATCTCTAGTTGGCAGCCCAGCCGACTCCTGCTTCCTGTCTCTAGTTGGTGGCTCGGCCGACTCCTGCTCCAGGCCCTGATCCTGGTGCCTAGTCGGCAGTGAGGCCAACGACTGATCCTGGTGCCTGGTCAGCGGTGAGGCAAATGCCTGACAACCTGTCGATGGTGAGGCAGACGCCGAACACTGATCCTTGCGCCCCGGAGGCAGTCTGGCTTGCGCCTATTCCTTTCCCTGAGCCTGGCGCCCTATCAGTGGTCCAGCTGATCTTGATACCTGCTCGCACTCCGGAGGACCAGAGTTCGGCCCTGAGGGTGTCCGCCCAAATTACTTTGCCTGTCTGCTTGGCACCCAGGCAACTGCCAACTGAAAATGCAAGTGCTTTACACTCATGAGAGAGGGCATGTGTTATGTTGGGTTCCAGCTGGAGCCAATTCCAGCTGACATTTGGCAAGAGGCAGGGAACACCCTGGACAGGCTCCCAGTGTATTTCAGGGCTGACAAATGGACACAACCATTCCTACTCAAATTGAAACCTATCGACAATTTAGGTTCAGTGTCTTAGAGTTCCTTGAAATCTGACACCTTCCCTTTTTTTCCCCACTTTTCATTATGCTGCAATCTGATCATAAATCTATGCCAGTGGCCGCCAACCTGTCGATCAATCTATCGGTTGATTTCGACAGTCTTCACCATCTATCTCTATAACTCTCTGGACTCACTGGCTGCGGTTGCGCTGCAGATCAGCTGTGTGTCGGTTGTCTGTTGTTAACACGCGCTGTGTCCGCTACTGGCCGCCAGGCTGCTGGTTTATCTACTACATTTCCTTCAATACAGTTGGATTATGTACGGAACTAAATATCAGGGCTGTACGGTATGAAGATGTGCATCTTTCGGTCTGTGGATAACAATCAAAGCCCCTTTAGAACAAATGAATGAATTTAGAAATGCTGGAGTGCTTTTACTTTGCAACGGGTTCAGGAAGTATTTGACAGAGACAGAGACAGATAAACATTGTGTTTAAAAGCAGAATAAACAGAGAAAATGATCTTTCACCTCAGTTTTAATGTTTATCTGATGAATTTATGTCACAAAAATAAATGGTTGCAACACGTTCTGTATGTGTTTCTGTTCACCGAATCCATTCTTTTGTTTAAAGATCGTTTTATAGTGAAAAATCTGCACGAGCGGAAAATGCACAGCTTTATACTGTATAGTACTGGTGTATATTTGAGTACACAGGTCATAATATATAATCAAAATCCTTGCAAATCCTATGTTAAAACATTGTGCTGCAGTAGAAGCTCTGCAAAAACATATTGTTGAACTGAGAACAATGTGCATTGAACTGATGTATTTAATTGATGCCGTAAATATGAATTGATATTAATGTGAATATTGTGCATTGAATAAATAAAGTTGCATATCTGCCTTTTTTGTGTATATTTATGTTTGTACATTAAGCCTTTAACAGAAATGACAAACATAATAAATATGACCCTCCTGTGGGTTTTTTGGAAGATATCAGGGTGGTAGATCTCTGCTTACTTTTGGAATTAAAAAGTCATCTTGGGCTTGAAAAGGTTGGTGACCACTGATCTACACTCAATACCACATAATGATTAAGTGAAAACAGGATTAGAATTGCTTGCAAATCTTTCAAGAAACTGAAATACCACATTTTTATGCTTAAAATCTGCATTTGAGTATGTTTGCAGATGCACTCATACACAAACAAAATTGATTATTTAAGAAAATAAATTACCTGAGGTAAGCTGGGGGCTCTGTGCTGATGGACACTGCCTTGTATTTCTCGTCATTTCCCTCAAAGATCTCTTCACATTCAGATGCCTTCAGTAGAGTAACACTAGTGGCTACAATAAGATTAGAATTAATTCAGAAACATATGTTATTACAACCTCTGGACCTTACAGACAAGGATTAGTACAAACTCAGTATGCCAGTTACAAGCAAAGCCACTCACCATGTGATGATGCTACTATTTTTTTCCTTTCCTCCACTGAGGCCAGCCTCCTCCATAAAGATGGGTATCTTTTATACAAAGAGCCTCTGAACATACGCAAATAGTTTCCAACCTGCAAAGTAGAGGGCAAATCTTTGAGTAATCAAAATTATTTGTTTAAGTTTAATAGATTGAAACTTAAACTTAAACAAAGTCTAAATAATCACCATTATTGCTATATTATAACCCTTAACTCACAAAATGAGTATAGCATTTATGCAAACACATTTACAAAACATTTATGATACAGAAAAGCTTTAAACTGTTTCTGAAATGTGACTCTTCACTTTCCAAAGAAACCTGGATGATACCTTCATAACTACTAAGTTTACTGTGCCTGCAATCATTTGGTACAGGATCATTGGCCGTGCACAGCACTCAGCCCTAAGTTGTAGGCACGCATGAGTTTTTTTTTTGGCCTTTGATGGTGAAACTGCACCACTTAGTGTAATACTACAGAAGTCAATGAACTGTCTCTCTGAAAAAGATGTTCTTAAGATAGCACCATGGATGGCTACCTTGGTGTATTGGTGAAAGTTGTTGTTGTTTGGTAAATCAGTGTTTTGCTACAGTACCCACAGCTTTTTCCCTAGAGAAGAGCTAATCAACGTCAGATGACGAACAGAGGGTCGTCGTTGATCTCAGACTCCTCCAATCTGCATTGTTATGGGCAGGACTCTTAACACATACAGTAATTGCCCTCGTGCCAACAGTGTTTAAATGGTGTGATAGAAAAGGCGCTGTGTATGGAAGCACTGTGTGAATGTATGTGTGAATGGATGAATATGACTTGTCCTGTAAAGTGCTTTGAGTAGTCTATAAGACTAGAAAACTGCTCCATGTAGTCTTATACATTTACCTTTGTCCATGCAGAAGGAGAGGGAAACTCTAACAATATTATTTCTTTCAAATGTGCGTTCACTGTTGTCAACAAGCCCAGAAAAACTGATGTTGATTTGAAGTCTGCGTTTTTCACAAAGCCTCACATTTTGTAAAAAAATTAGCAATACTAAATCCGTCTACCAAGAAAAGTCTACATAAGGAGTCGTTAGCTATACTAAAGGAACATATTTATGAATAATTGTTTAAATTATATTAAAAGCTAAGTTAAATTATTAAGACATGAGGTGATTGTGATAAATTATTTTAACAGTGTTTTTATGATTAAATTAAATGGATGACACAGAGGAACTCTTCAAGTCAATGGAGAACCACAAACCTTTTGTCCATTTCTGCCCTGACCAAGCAACTATCGAACAGCATAACAGGACAAATCATCACATTAAACCATCACTCAATGACATAAAGACCAGACTGGCATCCATTGAGTCCACCTGCATAGCCAGGCTGAAAATAGAGGCGCAGCAACATCCACATAACCAACTAAAGCTGATTGCAAGCAACCAAACATTTCCATGAAGATATCATGACAGAAAATTTTGGTACAGGCCTTTCCTATTCCTCCAGCTGTCAGAGTTGTCATATCCTGTAAGAAACAGGATGACCCTCTACATCCATTAATTTAACTAATCTTCCACTAGTCCACAGACCCTGAGCTTATCCTGAGGCTAGCAAGGGGGCTGACTGTCTCTCATTCCAAAATACACATGTACCCCAGTGACATCATTGATGTCTCAAAGAGAAGAGCGGCATACTCCAATGGCATTTCTGGACTAGGATATATAGGATGCATGCCCAAAATCGCAAGCATATGGATACACAATCACAAAACACAGAGATAAAAGTAGAGATAAAAAAAAAAATTAAGCTGATGCTCAGTGCACACGCATATGAACATAAACACAATAAAAGACGGAAAGATTATGTTTCTATTTTCTGCCTGTTTTGTTTTCAGTGTGTTGGAGCCAATGTTCCAATAACTCACACTGAGAAGTGATATTCATAAAAACATGCTGAATTAATATCTCTGTTCCTGGATAAACAAGATCTCGCTTCTTCTGCAACAATGAAGTTAAAGCACTGTGTTACGTTGTAATCTGCTGGAGTAACTTCTGTCTGCAGGAGTGTGCCTGCTTGTCTCTGCTATCTAGAAACACTTCCGTTGTCGTTTTCTGTAATTGCAGCGCATTTCTGTAATGTGTTGTGTGAAATGTGTTGTGTTGGTCATAATGTGTTGCGAAACTGATGAAGATGTTTTCTTACTTTGCTTGTGTTTTGTCTACTTTGCTTGTGTTTTGTCTACTTGCATATGTTTTCTTAAGTTGCAGTGCCTTGAGCTCTCAGGACCACCATACATAATGCTCCTGTGGTGTCATTTAAGTGTCTGTAAGTCCCTACATTTAAATTCGACTCAAAACGGCATCATTTACAGTTTTAAACCTAAATGTCTGCCATTATCCTCAGCCCAGCTCAACCGAACAAGTTTGCACCTCTATGCTCTTGCCGAAGGGGCATGATAAAGAGTGAATTTTAATTATTGGGTGAACTATCCCTTTAAGGGACACATCTTAATGCCAGGTTTGCACACATGTACTTAGCACTGGTCACTTGTAATTGGAACATTCAGCAGAATAAGTCATTTTAACTTTTCGAAAATTTGACTATCTTCAATATCAACGTCGTTTAGTTGTACTTTCACTGTGATTAGTAAGATTTTTTTAATAAGATATATGTAATATCCTTCTGATTTCTTCTACCAATATCATTAATTATGTTTCAACTACTAAGAACTGTATGGGGTCTCAATATAGATATCTAGGTACAATTAAATTGGATTATTATATTATCTTATATTATTCCAGTTTTAAGATATGTACAATTTAATTCTGACTAGTCATAATCCAAGTTTTCTTAAATTCATCTAAATACCTTAACTAATTTTAGACCCATATCAAACCTAAACAGTCAGTATGATGTTGTGAATATCTATGATTGGAATTATCATCATAATTAAGTTGCTCCAGAGTGTAAGATTTAGGTGAATGGGCAGAAATTTAATGTAGAATATTCCTCATGATGTTTTCACCTGTACGTTTCATCTAAATTGTATGAACTGTAGTTTTCTTTACCCCAGTAAAGGCCCTTTACATTTAAATACTTCATATTTACATTGAGGGGATCCTCTCTACGGAGGCCGCCATGTTTTTTACATTAGTCCAGACTGGACAAACTAAACACCTTTTGAGTTTTTATAACAACTGAAGCTACCACAGGTTCTTTTTCATGTTTGGAAGGAGAAGGTGAGGTGAGGGGTGTTCAGCTGCAACATGCAATTTCAACACTCAATATCACTAAATACTACACACTGTACCTTTAATACATATAAAAACAGCATTGTAGAAGAAGACGAAGTAACTTTTCGAATAAACTGCTGGAAAGGGTAAAATTTAGCATTTGTCTTGTATCCAATTAATAATTGATTAATCAAAAAATTATTAACAGATTAATGAATCATCAATTAGTTAGTTAGTTAGTTAGTTGCAGCCCTAGTACAGTCCCACAGAGTTTAAATACCTGAAACCTCCCATTAGTCAGTTCAGAAACCTCTTGGGGCTTCTTGGATAAGAGGTAAAAGATCTTCAAGAAACACAAGCAAGTCCAATTCCAACATCTTAACAACTTTCATAGTTGAACCATTTAATTCCAATTCAGACAACCAGGACTTCTTTTGTAAGCCTCAAGTTAAATCAGAGTAGTTTAAACATGTTTCGTACTAAAGGCCTCAGGATGGTGCCAGACAAACTTGAGGCTTCAACACAGCAAATTACAGAGCAATGGATAATGTTACATGTGGGTTGCCGCAAGGGCTGTGATGTTCACAGTTACGGTTTGCGATCCGCAAAGACAGAACCGCGACACATCTCCCTGCCAAACTTCACACGCTGCCACAGCAGCAGTTGCCGCCTGTTGCATGTGTCCAATCACACTCCAATCCAATCACAACCCCACGTAATCTGAACCAACACATAACTGCCAATTACTGTATCTGCAGAGCAATGAGTGTTGAGGTCAGAGAGAATAGTCTGTTTTGCCTTTCCAAAATTGCGTTGTAAAGTCTGCTTGTTGTGGCCTCTCAGGAGCAGACGCCTTTTGTCTGAATTCAGAGTCAGGAGGAAATCAGGCAGCGGAGTCAGGTGGACTGTTTATTCTAGGGATGCACAATATTGATTTTTCCAGCCGATACCCAATAATTATATGCTTCGCATGGCCGATACCGATTATAATTTCACGTTTCTTAAAGTTCATAGGCCTGTAGATTCTGCGGACCTGAGGATAAAATTGTAAAATTGATAAATTAATATTCCATTGTTAACACAATAAAAATCGTTCTGACTCAGTTTTCGTACATCAGAAAACTTCAAACTATTTTAGGTGGAGGA